TCTGGGGCTCTCTCTATATCCTGGTACCGTTCTGTAGGGATGCTGGTCTCTGCCACTGCTCCTGGTCCTAGCCAGAGAGATGCAGCTGTGATAGGAGATCTGCTGGGCAGATGCTGGGCAGTAGAAGGGAAAGCGTGGTGGATATGGGGAAAGGTGTGTGGGTTGTCTCGTGCCTTTTTCCAAATGATGACCAAAGCCCTGCTGGGAAGGGCACTCCTCTTACAGCCAGTTTTGTCTTGAGGAACTGGGAAAGGACAGGACTTGTCTCTGGCCAGATTAGAGACCCCAGGCTTTTTGGGGATGCTCATATCTAATCCTATGTGCTGTGGCCTCTGTCCAGCCTGACCCATTGCAAACTGCATGAGCGGGGTGGGACTCTTCCCTGCTTCCATATGCTGCATAACCCAATGCTGGTGCAAACCTCTGGTGTGATGTCTCTGTCATATTGGTGGTCCCTTACCCTTTGCCCACACAAGAACTCTGCTGTAAAGGGATGTGGCAGCAGTGATTAAAGTGTTAAAGCTCTCAAGGCCTTAAATTTCTTGTTTTTCCTTTGCTTCCCAGTGGATAACTTTTCCCATAGAGAGATAGAAGAGTTCCTCAGTGAAGCAGCGTGCATGAAGGACTTTGACCACCCCAATGTCATCAAGCTCCTAGGTATGGGGTCCCCAGGTTGGGCTGGGAGTGGGACCATACTCAAGTCCCACGTGTGAGCTGTGTCCATGTGTTCCAGGCGTGTGCATCGAGCTGAGCTCTCAGCAGATCCCCAAGCCCATGGTGGTTCTCCCCTTCATGAAATACGGTGACCTGCACAGCTTCCTGCTTCGCTCCCGGCTGGAGATGGCCCCCCAGGTAACGAAGGTGGGCAGCAAAGGGTCCTATGCCTGCAAAGAGCAAGGGGTGACTGTACCTCTTTTAGGGACACCGGGCAAAACCTGCCTTTGGTTTTGGGGAACTGCAGGAGGACTTGGTTGTAGTCCTGCCGCCTGCTTTGTTGCTGCTGGCAGTGGGATCTGGCCCTACACAAGCCTGTGGGATTCGTGCCTTCCTGAGTCACGGTCACCTTGCTCCACACCACGACCCACAGTCCTTTCCTACAGAGCTACTTTCTAGCCTGTAATATGTGATGTTAAGGCAGCCGGTGGGAACAGCCACAAGGAAACAATATCTAGTTGAAGGCTGCATTCAGAAGTTGTGAAAGGAGGAAGCAGAGGTGCAAAGGGTATGCATGATATCTGGTTTGCCAGGATGGACCGTTCTGGCCTGCATGACAGCCTGGCAGACAGCGCTTGGTTTTGTTTCTGAAACAGCTGTCCCAGCATCTGCAGCTTCTGCAGGTTTCTGATTCAATAAATCTCATGGTCTGAGGCTGTCACCCTTGGTGGCCACTGCTGTGGGCTCCTTGTGCTCTCTGAGACTAACTCAGAGCTGGCCTGAGCAGGTCTGGTCAGACCAAACGTGCCTCCCAAAGCACTCAGACCCTCTGACCCACATCCTCCCTCCTCAGTTTGTGCCCCTGCAGACTCTGGTGAAGTTCATGGTGGATATTGCCCTGGGGATGGAGTACCTGAGCAGTCGGCAGTTTCTTCACAGGGATTTGGCGGCTCGGAACTGCATGTGAGTTTGCTTTCCTTCTGTTTTGGCCTGGCAAGGTGAAAAGTGGTGGAAGTCCCATGGCTTTATAGTGCTAGGAATGAGTACAGAGTGGGTTTCCTTAAGTAAAACCTCCCTTGGAGTCTCCTGGGGAGACATAGCGAGGAGACCAATCTCAGAACTAGAGTCCAGAATTTGGCACGTCTAACTTTTCTTTCTCATCATTTCTTGAGCTGTGGAAAGAAGAGGCAGTCGTACCCAGTGTTTCAAGAGCCAGCCTGATGAAGGCGTGATCACCAGTCATTACACATCTGTCAGGAAAGCAGGCTTTGCATCCCCAGGGCTCTCTGACCCCGTTTGTACCCGGCAGGTTAAGGGACGACATGACGGTGTGCGTGGCAGACTTTGGGTTGTCCAAGAAGATCTACAGCGGCGATTACTATCGTCAGGGCCGAATAGCAAAAATGCCAGTGAAGTGGATTGCGATAGAGTCCCTGGCTGACCGTGTCTACACCACCAAGAGTGATGTGGTAGGTACACATGGCTGGGCAGCCAGGAAGCAGGAGCCAAGAGCAAGAAAGTGATCCCTGAGTCGAGTCCTCCACAGCTGTAGCACTTTGTAGGGGTTGTTCTTGTACCTTGCAAGTGCAAAAGCCAGTCAGTAACAGGCCATGCTGACCTTTCGTTGCCTGCCCAGCATCCTGGAATAAGTTTACTGAGTGGGCTGCTTGCCTGTCGTATGGCATTTCTTATCATTTCCAATTTTGGGGAAGGCAGGACTGAAGATACAACTATTAGCATTGTGCGAGAGCCCAGTGGATGCTAGGAAGTGACCTTTCCCCATGAAAAGATTCATTCATTCCTCCTGGAAATGTCCTTGCAGCACGCTTTCCCTTTGTTACCACAGTGGGCATTTGGCGTTACCATGTGGGAGATAGCCACCAGAGGGATGACTCCGTACCCAGGGGTGCAGAACCACGAGATTTATGAGTATCTATTCCACGGGCAGCGGCTCAAAAAGCCTGAGAACTGCTTAGATGAACTGTGAGTATTACACCACTATGCCCAGGCTGCAAAAAACCTCCTACGTCCCCGCTCCAACTGTCCCCAGACACTGAATTCAAATAAAAATATCAAAGACAGAACCTTTTTTCCTTGTAGGGTTGACAGGCAGGGAGCTCACACACACAGGTTAGCTCTGAGAAGAGAGCTGGCCAGAAGAGTGGTGTGGGTGAAATTTTAAGTGAGCATGTCTCATATGAAAAAAAAAAACAAACAGCTCCAAATCTTTAATGTTCTGTTAATCTCATGAGTTTTAATACGAGCCAGATCCCATAGCAGAGTATGACCCAGCATCTTCTTGACTCCAGGCAAGGTGTCACACAGAAGTCTCCAAAAATATCCCCACAGAAGGCAGTGTGTTGGTGGGGTTCACGCCAAAGGCTGATGATGGGCTGCCTGCAGCAGGCGGCGTGGGGGGGTGAGAAGTGCCAGAGGCCACCTTGCTGGGTCCTGCAGAGGTGGCAGCAGTGCCCTCTGCAGTTTGTGGTGAAGGAGTCAAAGTTTTTGTTGTTGTTATTTCATTTTTAAGACCGTTTTGCCATAAAGGCCATGCCTAGGGCTGCTGCACTCCTTTCTCAACAAAACAGCTAAAGTGGGGGAGCGGGTTTTGCTTTGTTTTAATGCAAAGTGACTCGGGACTCACCCAGTTTCCAAGCAGGGAATCAGAGCACGTACATCTCGAAGCCCAGCACTCAGCAACATCCTCCACGACAGCTGCATTTCCTCTCCTCATTCCCAGGTACGATATCATGTCCTCCTGCTGGAGGGCTGAACCTGCTGACCGACCCACGTTCTCGCAGCTGAAAGTTCATCTGGAGAAGCTTTTGGAAAGCCTTCCTGCCCTGAGGGGGTCCGGGGACGTCATCTACGTCAACACCAGCCTGCCAGAGGAGAGCCCCGACTCCACCCAGGATTCGGGCTTCCCCCAAGCGGACTCTGACTTGGACACCGGGGACATTGCTGAGCCCTGCTGCTCCCACACGGAGGCAGCGCTGGTGGCAGTGGATATCCACGACGGGGGCTCGAGGTACGTCCTTGAGAGCGAGGGCAGCCCCACGGAGGAGGCTTACGTCCCACTGCTGCCCCACCAGGGCTCGGCGTGGACCGAGGCCAGCACCTTGCCTGTTGGCAGCTCGCTTGCAGCTCAGCTGCCCTGTGCTGATGGCTGCCTGGAGGACTCTGAAGTGCTGCTGTGAATGGAGCCTGCGCGAAGCAGGGTGTGAATCGGGACAGAGAGATTTTATTTTAATAAACAGTCTTATTTCTTCTTGCATTATTTTCATACGGGAGTCCAGCCCTTCCTGGAGGAGACCACAAGGTGGTTAAATGCTCTAAGGATGTTTGATGTACTGGGAGGCTTTGGGTCCTGGCTCACAGAGCAGCCCATGTCCCCCTGAGGGTAACGGCTATGGCAGGGGTGGGCAGTGTGGAGATCTGGGGTAAATGGTGCTGCTCACATTGGGGTTGCCTTCCTGCAGCCCAGACTGTGGTGGCACCAGAAAAGGTGGGATTTCTTTTTTTATTTTTTTACCTTTTTGAGCATTTTCAGTCGCTTTTTCAACAAGCAGTACTGAGGATGGTCAGGGCTGATACACAGCCCTGGCCCAGGCATTTCACACAGCGATACGTCCCTGCTGAAAACCACCAAGCAGAACCCAAATGACAGCACCAGGACCTTTGCCATCTCCTATCCAAACAGTGGGTTTTGGTTTGTCCCCAGTGCATCTCCACACACTGATCATCCTGGCCTACCTGTGTGCAGAGCAATGCATTGATGGCATTACGGGAGACTGATGGGAGAGGCCTGGGAGCAATGGAGCCACACTTGGCCTATCTGTAGAGCTGCTCTGGGGCTTGCATTCCTTCTCTGTTTTGGGGGGATTTCTGCTCTTTCCATCTCACAGGCTGATTTAGAGCACCCCACTGCGGGCTGGGAAGACAACTCTCAAAACTCTGCCCTAGGAGATCTCCCCAACCCTGCCAGTACCCAGACCCAGCTCTCATTACTGCACCATGCCCAGTAGATGGTGCAGGGACCCCACATACTGCATAGTGTTCATTGCACCCCACAGTGTGTGGCTGTGGGAAGGGGACATGGGCTCGGGGAGGAGGCTGCACACAGCCCAGGAGTGGCATTTTTGCAACCTACAAACATTTGCTGTGCATGGGAATCCTATGGGCTGGTAACGTGGGCTTCATTGAAGGTGGGGTGCAGCTGTGGATGTCGGCTGAAATGCAGGTAGCTAGAGATAAGGGGAAATAAGGTGAAATAGCTGACAGCGTGATGAACCAAAGGCAACCCCCCCTTATAGGGCAGGCCTTGAGGTAGCTGCAGACAGAAGGGCTCCACGCAGCCGGCATTTGGGATGACGGTGACCACAGCCGGGGCTCAGGGAGGAGGACGCAGGCTGCCCCACGCGAGCCCCGAGCTCCGCTCCCCAGGGCGAGCTCCTCCATCCGCTGCCCTCGTCCTGCTTCGCAGGGTGCGAGCAGCGCCCGGCAGCCGCCGTGCCGTTCGCCAGGGCTCGGCTTCCCCGGCCGCGGTGCGCAGGGCGGCGTGGGAGGGATAACTCATCCCAGCCAGGAGGCAGAGGTGCCGGGCGGAGGGAGCTCACCGCCTTCCTCCCGCCAAGAGCCCTGCTCGACCGCGGGACCATGGCTCCGGGGCTCCGCCGCAGCCTCCCTCTGCTGCTGCCGTTGCTGCTGCTGTGCCCGGCGGCACGGCTGGCCACGCCGGCGGCCCAGGTGAGCTCGTCCTCGTCTTCGTCCTCGCGTGGGTCTGGGCTATCCGCACGCGCGTCCTTTCGTCCCTCTGCCTCCGCGGAGCTGCGGGGTCTCGGGGATGCCTCCTGCGAGATCTCATCTGCTTTCCCTTCTCCCTAAAGCAGGAGGCTTAGAGCATGCTAAACGCACCCTCCCACCCCCCAACAACTCTTCGAATCCCCCCCTCGCGGTTCGATGCAATTTGTGCTCCCCGCCCCAGCAGGTGAGCCAAGCGGAGCACGCACGTCCCGCTGCAGCTCCGCTCCCTTCTCCGTCACCCGAGGCTGTGGGAGGGAGGCGTGAGCACGGAGGCTGTTAGTGCAAAGCAAAGCTTCGGTATTGCTTTTGTGTTGCTGTTTGTTTGTTTGTTTGTTTTTAAATTTCCCCGCACCTGAAATCGTGACCAAGTACGCCCAGAGCAAAAAGCACCGCTGTTTTTATGGGAGAGCGGGGGTTTGTTACGGCTCAGCACCCCGCGGGGAGCTCCGCTGGCTCCTGAAGTTAAAGTCAGACCTAACAAAGAGCTGTTTATTGAAGTGCGCGGGATGCCAGGCATCTATTTGCTTTTTCCTCCCTCTTCCTGTGCTGCGCACCCCAGAGCTGCCGGCAGGGCTCAGCTCATCCCCGGCAACCTTGAAACAGCCACGAGCAGCGGCAGGGGATGATGCTGAGTGCCTCGAGCACGCTGTTTGGGGCTGACTTTTCTTTTTTCCTTTGCAAACCCTCGGTAGCTTTTTGCAAAGTGGATCAACCCCTGCCCCGCAGCTCTGTTTGCTCGGTCCCAGCCTTGGACCCGTCTCCTTTTCCCATCGCATCTGGGCACAACACGGGGTTATGCACTCCCCATAGGGGTTGTTCATCCCCTGCTCCGCGTGCTCTGCAAATCTCCAGGCACAAAATTGACTCTGCTGTGCTCAGCTCTTGCTCTTTCCCTTTGGTTTTCAGTTAATTCCTCAGGAAACCTATAATAAAGATGCCCGTCGCCTGCATGAGTCAGTCCCTTGGTAACCATTAGCTTGCAGGCAGAAGTCCCACAAGTGTTTCTGGCCCCAGAAGAACTCACAAGACATCTGTTTTTCTATTATTTTCTAACATGGAAGTGGGACACGGCTCTAGATCCAGCAGGACGTGCTGTGGCATCTCTCCCAGGAATAACAAAGCTATCAGAGCGATGCGTTGCCACGTTAGGATGTAGCAGGCCACGCCACAGCTAGGGATTTCCCACACGATGTTTGGGTTCAGAACCCCCGCGTTTGGCCAACGGGGGCAAATGACGGGACCTAGAGAAGCCTGGTGGGTGCTGGGGCTGTGGGTGCTGAATGCTTGTGGTGCCCGCAGGGCTGCCCAGGCAGGCAGCAGCTCCTGGCAGCTGTGCGGCAGATGCAGCAGCTGCTGAAGGGCCAGGAGACGCGCTTCGCCGAGGGCCTGCGCCTGATGAAGAGCCGCCTCAGCACGCTGCATGCAGCCCTGGCCAAGGCGGCCCCGGAGCCCACGCCTGGTGAGTGCCATGGGGGCTTTGGGATGATGGGTGAGCAGTGGGCTCCAGGGTCTTTGGTCATTTGGGGCTGGATGCTACCGATGAACCACTGTGGATCTGCCCGCTGACCCCATCCCACTGCTCTTGGAATTTCGTAGAATCATGAAGGTTGGAAAAGACCACTGAGATCATTCGCTGCAACCCCAGCCCACCCCACTGTGCCCACTGCCACATCCCTCAGAGCCACATCCCCACGGCTCTGGGGCACCTCCAGGTGACCCCACCGCTCCCTGGGCAGCTGTGCCACTGCCTCACCGCTCTTTGGGAGAAGGAATTGTTCCTAGCAGCCAGCCTGAACCTCCCCTACTGCAATTTAAGGCTGCCACCTCTCATCTTGCAGCCTCCTTTCAGGTGGTTGCAGATCCATAGGTCTGCCCTGAGCCTCCTCTTCTCCAGACCGAACAGCCCCGGTTCCTCAGCCGCTCCCCATCACACTTGTGCCCCAGACCCCTCACAGCCCCGCTGCCCTTCTCTGGACACGCTGCAGCCCTCGGTGTCTTTCCTGCAGTGAGGGCCCAGCGCTGAGCGCAGCACTGGAGGTGCGGCCTCACCAGCGGCAGTGCGGAGGGCCGCTCACCTCCTGCTGCTGACACACGCCGGGGTGCCGCTGGCCTTCTTGGCCACCTGGGCACACTGCTGGCTCACGCTCAGCCGGCTGTCAGCTAACGGCCCCGCAGCCTTTGCCTCCGCACAGCTTGCCAGCCACTGCCCCAGGGCTGCAGTGCTGCGTGGGGCTGCTGTGGCCAAAGTGCAGCACCCGGCGCTTGGGCTTGGTGAAGCTCATCCTGCTGGGCTCAGCCCATCAATCCAGGCTGTTTGGATCCCTCTGCAAGGCCTTTTGCTCTCAGGCAGATCAACACTTCTCCCCCGCTTGGTCTATTTGCAGTGTCCTGCCCAGCCCCACAGGCCCCTGCTGGCGGGCGAATGTTCGGCACCAAGTACCTGGTGGAGCACGAGGTGCACTTTGCCTGTGAGCCTGGCTTCGAGCTGCAGGGTTCCAGCACACGGATATGCCAGGCTGATGGCAGCTGGAGCGGACAGGAGCCGCGCTGCACAGGTACCACTTCCCTTCCTTTGGCTGGATGTGGCTACAGCTGTGGGAGCATTTCCTGGGCTCCAGATCTGGCTGCAAGTACAGACGCAACCTGGGTTATTGGAACAAGAGGGATTCTCGCGGTCCAAGTTTGGTGAAATATCAGGTTATGGTGCCGTTTCAAAATACATCAGACAAAACCTGGCTTTTTGCAGAGCTCAGCACGTGCTCCAGCAGCCCCTGCCAGAACGGCGGCACCTGCGTGGAGGGACCAGGCCAGCACCGCTGCCTCTGCCCACCGCCGTGGAGCGGGGCCGCCTGCCAGCACCGCACGCAGACAGGTGGGTGACACAGGGTGCTCGGGTTGGGTGCGTGCTGTGTCCTGGCCTCACCTTGCCCCGGTGCCCTGCAGAGCCCCCAGCATGGAGTGCGACAGCCGATCCTGCCTTCAGCCGCAAGCCCCGCTGTGCCCAGGTGGAGCACACCCAGCAGTGCCGCTGCGAGCCCGGCTTTCACATGAGCGGCACGGCCGCCGCCAGCCTCTGCCGGGGTAAGGGCTTAAAGGGCTGCAGGGTGAGGAGTAAAGGGGCCGTGGGTGTGTAGCACTGCTTGTTTCCCTGCAGATGTGGACGAGTGTGAGCTGTACCAGGCAGAAGGGGCCCCACGGCTGTGTGCCCACGCCTGCGTCAACCTGCCCGGCTCCTACCGCTGCGCCTGTCCCAGTGGGTACAGCCTGCTGGGCGATGGCAAGAGCTGTGAAGGTGAGGCAGCATGGGCAGCTTTCCCACCTTGCCCAACCTTGCACGATTGCCCCAAAAGTAGATCATAGTGAAAAATCTTTCCTCATTTTCAATGTGATTTCTGCTGCTACGCTATGTTTTCATAACATCTTGGTAACACTCCCAACACACATCCGCGATTAAAGCCCTTGGTCTTACTGCTAGGTAAGCCGCCCTTACCTTACTTGGTGTGCTGACGCACTCAGAGAGCTTAGCAGAAAGTTAGGAAAACAAACCCATCCCGCTGCCCTAACCCCTGCTGGCCCTGGGCAGCAACAGTAGGGGAAGAGTAGGAGTTGATGGAAAGTGAGATTTGGGAGTGAACTTAGTGATTATTTCCATCAGATCTGGGTTTGCAGCCTTACCCTGAAAGGGGCCAGTGCACGGTCAGGGAGGGATGCAAGTGGCAGGGTGGGAAACTTCCACGCTTTCCTTATTCCTATCGAAGGTTTGCTCCACTTCACCTGTTTCCTGCCAAAACGCACCTGGAAATAAGGGTTTCCAGGTCTCTGTTGCCTGCCTGTTTTGCAGACATCGATGAGTGCGCTCTGTCGCGGGACAACTGCACGCGGGGCACAACGTGCATCAACACAGGCGGGGGCTTCCAGTGCGTCAGCCCCGAGTGTCCCCAGCCCGGCGGCAACATCACCTACGTGAAAACATCACCCTTGTGAGTGCGGCACGTGAGACCCGGCCCTGCTCTGTGCACGGGGCATCCCAACCTCTCAATCCCTCCTTGTGGTGAGGAGGACCACTGGGGGGACCCCCCTGAACTTCCTCCTCCATTCCCTTTGCAGCCAGTGCGAGCGCAACCCCTGCCCGATGGATAGCAGATCGTGCCACCAGGCGCCCAAAACCATCTCCTTCCACTATCTGCCCCTGCCCTCCAACCTGCTGACCCCAACCCCGCTCTTCCGCATGGCCACGGCGGCGGCACCCGGCCGGCCGGGACCCGACAGTCTCCGCTTTGGCATTGTGGGAGGCAACAACAGGGGCCACTTTGTGATGCAGCGCTCGGACCGGCAGACCGGGGAGCTCATCCTGGTGCAGAGCCTGAAGGGCCCCCAGACCATCCAGGTGGATGTGGACATGTCTGAGTACCTGGACCGCACCTTTCAGGCCAAGCATCTCTCCAAAATCACGCTCTTCGTCTCTGCCTATGAGTTCTAGGGCAGACCAGGGGGCGGCTGCAGGGTTTGGATGCTCTCATGTGAGTGGCGGCTATGGTCCCTTTTCAGATGAAAGCACTACAGGTGCCACAAGCACTGGAGCCCTGAAGCCAGCTGTCCCCCCTCTGCACTGAGGTGATTTTGTCTGAGTCTCCAGGTGCTTTTTACACCCACCTCCATGGAAAAAGCAGCAAGCGACGTGCGACAAACTGCATGCAGGTTATCTGCTTGCTGAGTGCGGGAGCAGGGCGTTATTTTTGCTCACAGCTCCAGGAGGACATCCTATAACTTCTGCACCTACATAACGCAATCAAGCAGGTAGAAACCAAGGTGCTTACTTCCTTTTTGATTCCTTTTTTGTAGGAAAGAAGCTAAGCCGGTGCTGTCAGCCCTCTTCTGCACTGGGCTGGGCTTGCTTCCCTCTGAACACCAAGACCCCCAGTTGGGATTTGCTGAGCGGAGCTCAAGCTCTTGGTGCTGCTTGGGGTGGTGGCAGCTGTGCCCTCAAGCCCCGAGGCTGTGTGGCACAACACGCTGCACTGCTCGGAGCATATGGAGAAGTTCTCCCCAGCCTCAGCTCCCAGGCCACACCTGAAGCACAAAGTTTGAGGTGGGACTGTCCAAAAGTGAGGTTGTTGCTCGGTTTGGGGTCAGCCATCCCGATGTCCCCAGAGATGCAGGAAGGACTCGGTGCTGTCCTACGTGATGAGCTGGAGATGAGGGATGGTTGGAAGGCTGTCCCATGCCTTAATCCTCTTGGATGGGGTCATGCACCTGCATCCACCCATGACCTGGCATGGACGTGCCATGGGGATCACTTCAGCTGAGCACGGTGCCTGTCTTGCAAGAGCTCAGGGTGTGAATATCTCATTTTTTAACACCCCTTGTCCTCTTGCACGAATAGTTGTGGGGTCAGCTCCTGCCATGCTACTGCAACACGTGCCCAGGGCTGGCACTACTGTGGTGCTCACCTCTGCTCCCCAGTGCAGCGCTTGTGCATGTAAACCACAAAAACATTATGCATGTGTCTTTCTCATTTAGTACAATTAAAGGATGATATAGCCTCTGAGTAGGCGCAGAGCAGAATAAAGTATCCGCAGCGCGTGTAGGGTGTGCTCACCCACAGCCAACTGGGGCTGGGTTCTGGGGTTATAGGGCTGTAACTTGTCCTTGTTGTTTCTGTTCTCCTGCTTTATGCTGCTGGGGAGGGAGGGGTAGGAGAGGAAGGAAGTGTGGGGATGTGCCAATGAAGACAGGTACGGGGAGCTGCTGGGAGGCTGGCGAGCTGCGTGATCAAAGTACCTCAAGGTTTGGGTGGAAAAGCTTCAGGGCCATGCAGGAGGAAAAACACAGCAGAGCAGGGCTTTGCAATGACACCTGGTAGCTCTTCAAAAAGCAGCTTTCTTTTCTTGGGAACTTAGCCCAGATTTAAAGAAATCTTGCTCCTAGGATAAAGAAGTCCATACGCTAAGGGGAAAGGGATTGAAAAGTACAAGTGAAGAACCTGGTTTGAAGCAAACTGTACTCCTTGGGTTCTGCAAGGAGCATTCTGCATGGAGAGCTGGTCTCCTCCTTCCCCTCTCCTTGGTGTTCCAACACAAGGCACCTGCACTGCCTCATGTGCCATATGAACCAGGGGGAAGTGAACTATGCCTTGAAAAAGGGACTGGCAGATTCAGACTAGCACAGTCTGGGGGCTGAAGGGAACACCAACCACCTGCTGGATTTCTGCATGTGGTTTCTCCCAGAATGGCAGAGCCCGAATCCTGCCCACAGCCAGGCGGGATGGATGAAATGCACCTCGGCTGGGAAGCAGGAGAGGATGACTTTGTGAATAGTTTCCATCTGATGCTTTAGCTGGCTGATGAGGCTGGGGGTGGCTGTTTGGACCTTTGCGTTGGAGGCTTTCACTGCAGAGTAATCCTTCACTGACAGCATTTTCCCAGTTCCCAAGGCCAGGGTGAACGGGTTTCCTCTCTTCAAGATGCACTGAGACACAGGGGACTGGCATAGGGATGTGGAGGAGCATCTCTGATCTGCTTGCAAAGTGGTGCCCATCCTCCCAAGTGTTTCTGGGCCCGAGGATCGGAGCTGGGAAGCTTATATGTCTCACAGCCTTAGCTGGATGCAGATCTCTCTTTCAGCCCCAGAAAAGTTTCAGGTTGGCTCTGCTGTGCCTGGACTGGGCTGGAAACCTCTGGCCAGCAATTGAGCTGACTAAAGGAGATTTTTCCCCCTCCCAGAGCAGCAACTGCAACATCCTGCAGCCTGGAATGTGCAGTGTGAAGCTCTTCTGGCCCTGGTAAATACAACTTCTCCTTGGGATAATAACATTTTAGAGCCCAAGAAATAGCTAGGTTTGCCTCTGCTCCCCTGCTGGCACTAAAGGCAAGCAGTCCATGTGCAGCTGGCTCCAGATTTGCTCTGCATGCTCTGGGAGAGCCCCAAAGCAACCATTCCACCCCTCGAAGGGCTGGTGAGAGCCCTCCCCTGCTCAGGAAGGACAGTAATCCCCAAATCTAAATGTATAGAGAGATTCCTGGAATATCTACCAGACCAAATATGTTTATAGAAGGAAAGAGGCACCCAAATGATTTTTTTTCCCCCTCAGAAACAAAACATCAAGACTTAACCTTGGCTATGGCCCTGGACCTCTTGAATGTTTTACCCAGTGACCTGTACCAATCTCTTTCCCCTTTTAGGGAGGGAATGATGGCAGCATTAAATGGAGGAGGATCCTTTTCACGGCGCTGTCTCAGAGAGGATTCTCTCCAGGTTTCCTTACAAAGCTTCCTGGAGTTGCTCTGTCTGCTCCTGGCCTCCCAGCTCAGAAGAGAAGAATTCTGTATTTCTCAAAAAGCCCAGAGTGACTTTGCTTGCCTCGCTGCTTCAAATCCTGAGAGGCATGCTGGGATTTCAGAGCTGGGATTTCACCTCTAAGGCTCTCTCTGGAGTCCCCTTGCCATGGTCTGCACTGCACTGAGGCCTAAAGAGATGACCTGATGCTCGTAGCACTGGCCTTCCCGAGTGACCCTCAAATCTGGCTCATAGCAGAGCCAGAAGAACAACCTGGAGGCCAACACTGTCTGCCCGTGCACATCCAAGTCCATCCCAAAAGCTGCTGGATGGAGAAGGAAATAGCATCTTCTTCCAACTGCTTCCCACTTGGCAGCCTGTGGAAATCCACAGCGCGTGGGGCATGTGCACAGCTGCAGACCGTGCTGACAATCCATCAGCTGCAGCAGGCATGGTAGGTGTATCCCAGCAAGGAAGGATCAAGTAATTTCATCCCAGGGCACATGGGAATAGGGTGCTGGAATGCCACTGTGGGCATCCCTCCTGCTCTCTCAAGTGTCTGTGTCCACACAGGACATCTCAATGTAAGGCTGCCCAGGAAAGGGGTCTTAAGACAAACCCTGGCAACCCAACGAATGGCCTAACCTTGTAGGTGCCATTGGACCAAACAGACCCTCAGCCTAACAAGAGAGAATCCCCACAAGCCAGAGGTGACAATTCTCTTGCTAAAAACAGAAAAGAGTATTAACACAGTTATTTTAAATGGCCGGCTAAGATCTGGATTGTATTACAGCTGTGCCAAACCAGCACCTTCAAGGACAGCCTGGTGCTCAGCGCATACATTAATGCTGCCCTGTCCCCTCCCACAGATTTATACCACGGTTTGAGTCCTCGCTAAAGCAAAAGCACAAGCACACATTCCACAACACTTATTAATCCTGTTACAGGCCTTAATGAAGAGCTGAACCGTGACATTTTTATTTGTTATGGTTGCTAGGTATGTTGCTAAGCCATACACACCATACCCCAGATCCCAGTATATCTGTGATATCTGAGAGACCGTACTGGGGAATTTGTTTATCTGATATTGCCAAATTTAGTTATACTTTGAAAATGCTGAAGGAGAAAAAAAAAAAAGAGCCATTCACAAGCTTCTCACAGACATACCTTTTTCCTTGACAACGCAAACACGCGTAAAGATATTTAAATAAACAGCTTTACCCTGTTGGTACTGAAACATTTTTCTGTTTGCTTAAAATTAATGTTGTGGGTATAACTGTGCCCAAGGAGCGCACACAGCTCTCATGCAAACCCCCAACAGTGAAAGGGTTGGCCCCAAAAGCAGGCAGCAGACCCAGTGCTGTACCTCCATAGAGAAACACTCCAGAAGGGGCCCAGAAACCACCATATGCCAGAGATCTCTCTCACTGCACAAACCCCAGAAACTCCATACATTCCCACACATACTATATGAAAAGCAGGGCTTTTATTCTGAATTTGAAATGGTGGTGGTGTGTTTTTTTTTTTCCTATTGCCTAGGGAGATGGTGCTGGCATCCAGCACACGGAGACACTCGCATACTGAAGACACTAATTAGCCATAATAGCCCCGACCAGCAGCCCTACCCCTGCCCATGCTCTCTGGAGCTCCATTTCAGTCCCTGCTGGAGATGTGCTGAGGCAGTGCTAGCTTCACCTTAGAGCTGCTTCATTTCCATGAGCGTGTGTGTTGATCTGGATGTTTGGTTGAACCAGTCCATGCTCTCTCCACCCTGCTTGCTTAGCCAGAGTCTAGCCTGGCACGTGGCATCAGATCAGCAGGGATCCTCAGCTCCTCGTGTCTGGGGGCACGGATGTGCAACCCCAGGGAGATGGTTCCTCAGTAGCCTGGTGCACAGCCAGGCTCCTAGACTGTGTGAAAGCCAGAGGCTGTATATGGGGAACTGCAGGGACAGAAGTTCTCCCACCCATGCTGTCCAAGGGATTAAGAAGAGCTAGTTTCCCTGTGCTCCTCAGAGCTGACTGTAGCCCCATGCAGTAGCACCGTTCTTCTCTGCCTGGCAGACAGGAGAGAGAGAATGACCCAGAAGTGAGAAGCCACCTTCTAGATGCCAAATAGGTAGGAGAGAGAGGTTCTCTGTGCAGCGCCAAGGAGCAAAAAGCTGCAGCATGAGTCAGACTGTTGCACAAGTGGAGCTCTAGTGGGATAATGGGAATGCTTCTTCCATGGGAAATGCTTTGTTCCACAGACCACGCTTCAGCAAGCCCAGCCAGCAGTGCAGAGCAAAGCAGGCAGGCTTTGTTTGCTTCGCTCTGCACTCAACTGTTTCTCGTCTGACTTATAACGAGCCCCAGTTGTACAGCATTTTAGGCAGTTGGGCATAGGCAATGCTCAAAGACACTTTGTGTGTGTGTGTGTGTGTAAAAATGTCCTATGTTGGAGCAGAGCAAATGCAGGAGCACCCCTCCCAAATGGGGGCCGATGTGGGTGTTCTCATTTTTTATTTTTGTGTTAGGATTGTTGGCACTGGAAAAAGAGAGTCATACGTCCTGAAAAGCCCTGTAAGCCAGGGAGACGAGCCTGTAAAGGAAAATAAGTTGATGTAACTTACTTGAGGCTTTTCCAAAAAATTATGACAAAGTCCCTCAAAAGACAGTGTTAAACAAAATAACATTAAAATCATTAGAGAACAACAAACACTGCTCTCTCGGGGGCTGTGAACTGCTGAGAGTCAGCAGAGCCAGGGCAGCAACGAATGGCCGGCTCTTGGTGTGCAGCAGCCTGGCAGGTGGGATCGTCTCCGTCTTGGTGCCAGTGTTGTTGTAAATAGATACATAAAGTTAATGGAAGAAGCAATGAGCAATGGAATGACAACACTTGCAGCTGATGCTATTTATTTGAGTTGGACAAGACTATCCTAAGGTTAAGGTACACGAGTTACAGTTGCAGTCCTGCAGAAGAGGATGAAATTCACTGAAAATGCAAAATGATACGCACAGAAAGAGATGCTAAGAGTAACAAGAGCAGCATCAGGATGCAACCAGCTGAGTCACCTCTACCAGCAAGGTAGAAAGGAGAAAGTGGAACCTGCCCCAAACAACGCCTGAGATAGAGTACAAAATGAGATGCCTCTTGCTGCAGTTAAGGGTTTGGTGTGCTTTTGCTACACTATTGAGTTCAGTAGTGCTCTTTTCTCCAAGGCTTTATTAAGGATTTCTTCACGAGTGTTGAATGTCCTCTGTTTTATTAATTGAATAGTCACTGATGTGATGATAACGAAAGTACCTCTATTATCTTTCCGATACAGGTTTTAATCCTCCACCTCCAATAGTCACTTGTGCCAGTAACAATTTCATTAACAGTTTTGGTTAAGATGGAAATTTCTCTAGGCCCCAATCCTGCTTGCTTTAAGTGCTCCTGCTTTGAGGAGGACCACAGTGACAGCTTTTACCTGGGGAGCTTGGGAGGACAACACGGGGTTTTCTTATTTCAAAGAAGAAAGAGAGGAGAGGAGAGGAGAGGAGAGGAGAGGAGAGGAGAGGAGAGGAGAGGAGAGGAGAGGAGAGGAGGATTGGAAGGGAAGGGAAGGGAAGGGAAGGGAAGGGAAGGGAAGGGAAGGGAAGGAGCTATTTTGAAACTGTTAATCACAGTGATTGGAACTCCTGGATAAGCCAAATTTGAACTGTACTAAGAGACACTGTTTTATTTTGTAGCAGAAAACTACTAGACCCAGTAAAGCTGATCGCCTGGAGGCTCAGCTTGCTACTCAAACCAGTCAGATTAATGATCCTTCAGCTCTGGCGTGGGAACTGGCCACAACCTCCGCACACAGGCTGCGCAACACAGTTCATACAGCCATGTAAGCTATGTCGTCAGGGTGGAAAGGAAGGCTGAACCAGGTACTTTTTGTCAGCATTGTTTTATAGTAATCTGAGCAGCCTCGGTGCTGTGAGAAATCTCACCCTCGCATGCCTGTGCCTTAGGGAGGATTTCTTTATGGAAAACTTAGTCTTACATAAGCTTCCCAAGGTAAATTACCTCATGAATTACCCATGGCTGACCTAACGGCTTACTAGCTTTGTCTTTTTTTTTTTAATGGCAATAGTGCTGTTTTTAATGGTAACAAAGATGGCTGCAAGTGAAGTGGGTGTTTCTGTTGGGATGAGCACACAGAGCTTTTATTTCAAACGTGGGATTTTTTAAATTTTTATTTAATAAATGAGCAAAAAAAATCCCTCAGAAATCTGGGACAGCAAAAGCACGGGACCCCTGCGAGATGAGACGCAGCGGAACGACCCGCAGCCCCTTCCAGTTCTTTAAAAACAAACCGAAAACCTTCCACCCCCCTCCCCCTCTCTTCAGGGCCGCGCCGCAGCTGCGCTAAGCCCAGCCCGGGGGCGGGAGCGCCTGGAGGGGAGAGGCGCAGCTCAGTTTTCGCGAGAGGACGAGGAGCGGAAGTCTGCCGCGAGACGCGCGGCCCGGAAGCGCCGTGACGGGCGGCGGCCGCCATGACGGGCGGCGGGGCGCGCACGTGACGCCAGCCCGCACGCGGCACGGCGGGTCTCCGCCCTCCCCCTGGCTGGCGCGCGCGCAGGGCGGGCGGCGGCGGCCGGAGGCGGGAGGGGGAGGGAGCTGGGGGGAAGGAGCCCGCCCGCTCGCCGCCACGTCACGGCCGCGTGACGAGCTGCGCGGCCCCGCCAATGGTCTTTGCGCACGGCGCGGTGACGCGCCACCCCGACAGCCAATGGCTCGGCGCGGGGGGCGGGCCGACGGCGGCGGCGGAGGAGGAGCGCGTCGCGGGCGGCGGCGGCGGCCAGCGCCAGGCGACGCCATCGCGGCCCCGACGGGCGCGGAAGACGCAGTGGTGGCGGCGGCGCCCGCGGGCCGAGGCCGCTGAGCGAGCTAGGGGCGGCACCGGGCTCGCTGCCGCCGCTGCCGCCGCCGCCGCCCTCGCCGCTATCGCCGCCGCCGCCGCCGCCGCCATTTTGTGAGAGTGCCTCGAGCGGGCGCCATGTTTGTAAGGAAGAAATAGGGCAGCCATCTCCGGCCACCAGCACTTCCCTTCCCCCGTGTGTGTGTCCTCTCGTTCTCCTGTGCCCCGGGCCTGCTCCTCGAGCCGCCGCCGCCGCCGCCTCCTCTCCTCCCGCCCGCGCGGGGCGGCCGGGCGCAGCTGTGCAGCCCTTCCTGCACTGAGTGCCCGTTAGTGTCCCACTAAGTAACCGTGAGTGCAACCTTCATCATCGCTCCGCACGGAGGGACCGGCCCTCCTCCTCCTCCTCACCGAGCCGCCCCCGGAGCGGCCGTGCGCGCCGCCGCCTCCTCCTCCCGCAGCGGCGGTGTCCTGCCTTCCTCCACCTCCCTCCTCCTCACCACACCACGGCCAGCAGCATGGCCTTTGAAAGCCTGTTCTCCAAACCCCCAAACCCAGTTCTTGACCCAAACATGCCCGACTCTGACAGGCAACATGCAGGGGACGAAAGGTCGAGTAACATTCTTCTCTCTCTCCGCTTCTCATGTGGTGGTGATACGAGTGGGGTGATGGTGGTGATGATGATGATGGTGATGATGATGATGATGATGATGCTGTGTTGATGTGCCGAGGGGGTTAACGCTGGCGGGAGCGGTCACCTTGGGGTGGGGGGTTCCGGGGGGGGCTCACTGCATCCGAGGTGCCTTTGATGCATTGGCGGTAGGGTTTTGTTTTTTGGAATGCATGCGTTTTACATCTTCATTTATTTGTTCTGGCTGGGAAGAGGGGGGGCTGTTTTCCATTTCTTTCCATAAATTGCACTTTCCAGCGGGTGTCTGTTGAATGTCACCATTGTTCTTTTTCTCCCTCGCTCTGGTGCTGCTAGTCAGGTAGGAAAGGGTGTTTGAGTTGTTTTCGTTCATTGCTTTTGTTTGTGCAAAATTCTCACCAGATCCATATTTAACGTCATTTTCTTGCCAGATTACACCTTCCACGTTTAACTGGATCTTTTTTTATGCAGATTATGGTCTGACTGACGTTATCTTTGCCACCTCTCAATCCCCATGCGCAGAACACCAGAGTCCTGTTCCTGGTGAAAGGACCTCTGTTCCTCCCTCCCTTTCTCTCCTGCAGCTGCTGGAAATTCAAACCCTTTCTCCGGGCAGCTCTGGCCTTCGAAACTAGTTCCAAAAATACCATTGCAGGGCGACAGCTACCAGTCCTTCGGCGTTCATCTGCTAACACAAGGGCAGGAGTTAACATGCTGTTCTGCGACAGCTGCCTGTTGGTTCTGTCTGCCCCACACAGCTCCACAACCGTGCTCGGTCCTTGTTTCAAAGGGCTCGGGAGTGAATGTAACATTCCCTCACTGGAGGAAGAGTCATAAGCTCACTGTTACAAATTGGGAAACAGAGGGCCGTGCGAGCTGACTAACTTGTCCCTAAATCACCCTGTGACATAGCGAGGGGTTCAGCGCAGACCCCAGAGATTCTCATTCCCATTTTCCCCTTCGTACATTTAGTTTTGAAATAGTGTGCGTTGTGCCTCACTGTGTTCCTCAAAGAGTGGTACGTAAAAAGCAAAATAGCAGCACACTTGCTGAAGATGCGGCACATACTTGTTAGGTCTTTGCAGCAGAAGTGTTTTTGTTGAAAGTTCATGCATTCGTAAGGCTCTGACTTTTACTGTGGATACTTTTTCAGGCATGCTGTTTTGAAGCTCTCATTGAGAGCCCAAAAAAACTTTATCCACTGTTTTGCTGTAAGCATTGTTTTTCTAGTTACTAGTTCCTCATGTGATGTGATAAGCAGAGTTCCTCTTAGCAGCTGTTCTCACCAGTGAGCTTGTTAGGCTGGGAGATTGTGAAATAGGATAAATAAGTACTCCTTAACAGCCTGATGTGCTTCCAGGACATGATCATTTATAAACATTGCTCTATAACGCTTTCGTTTCAGGAGAGCAGAAGACTAATGATAAAATATACCTTCTCAATAATGCTTTTGTAAAACTTCTGCTTCCCTCTGACCTATTTGTAATCAAGTGGATTCTTCATACACCTAGCGTGTTATAAAACACCCCAAAAAGAAGTCTTGGTGTTGTAGTAGATACGTAAATGTAATCCTGTGAAAGCATAATACCTTGCCTAGCTGAAATGCAGAGTTTCCTCACCAGCTGGTAAACTTGCAAGGCCCAAACAAAAGCCAAGTCTTTCCCTGCTGCAGAAACTGGCTGTCTGGAGGGGGGCAGGAAGCTTGCAGAGGAATGCTTTTGAAGTGCTGAGTTGATTTTGTCCAGTCTCCTGGGCTGGGAGTTGAAAAGCAAGGTGTAGTATTTTAGGTCCGTTCTGTAGAAATGCTGTGAGTATGCTCGTATTGTAAGCTTACGTGGACTTTTGCTCTATAATTAATTTGGTGTTTTAAAGCTAATGTGTGTGGTTTCAGTGTGTTCTGCCTTGCGTTCAGTGTTTTGCTGCGTTTGTAGCTCAGTCTGAGCAGCTTGCTATAGATAAAGCCCATAATAGGAAGCTGGTGAGGTCATTAACTGATCAGTTTTGGACAGCGTTGAGTTAATGGCATTTCTGTAAACATTTATGAGTTTGGTATTGAACTGATCTGTGGAGTTAGGAGAAAGTTGGTGAGTGTTTAGAGCAGCAGGAAGTACTAAAAGCCTTTGTCTGTTCTGAGATGGAAGTGTTGTTCTAATCCAAAGGCTTTGTTTCCTTCTTTATGGATGGGGCAGCTAATTACATAAGGAAAGCTTTTCATTCTTTATGTGTTTTTAGTGAACTCGTGCTCTCTGATGTGTTTGTTCCATGCACCCAGAAAACAAGTGTCTCTTCTTAAGTTTGCCTGTATGGTTTTGTTTTATGAAGGGTCACTTCTTCTGTAGGTCATGCCTAGAGGATAAGAAGGAAGTCAGAGGAAGGGTGCGGGCAGATATCAACACAAGAGAATCTTCTTGTTTTATGGACACGTCCTGTGCATAATGCTGTGGGTGAATTTACTGGCTGGTTTCCCTTTGTATCCAAAATGGGACTAAATGCTTTCCACAGGTATACAGGGATTCAGTCCTCGTGCAGACTTCGGTGGACTTTGATTTTCTGACTAATGCTGAGCTGTGACAGGCATGAGAAGGACTTCTTTCTTTCAACTAGTCCTGCAATAGAGAGCAGTGCCAGATTTGGTGTGAGAAACATTAGCAAATAACTTCTCTGTGAATTTGAGTGGTTGTTTTTTTTTTTCAGTACCTAAAATATTAGGTTGGTACCTGGTTCCTTCTGTTGGCCATCTCTGCTTTACTGTCATTTAATCTCCATTAACTGCAGTAAATTTAGCAGTGACCCTGATGATGGGTCTGAGCATTGAGATACTAGCTCACAGCAGTGCAGGTGATGCTTTTGTGCCCAGTGTGGTCTTGGGAATTGCCTTCCCAGTGTAAGTCTCAGGCTCCTTCTGACAGCCCACAGTGCAACAAAGCAATTCTGTGTTAAAGCCAGCTCTCTGATGCACACCCAAATGTCCTGTGTAAACATTCTGGATAAAATTATCCTGATTTTATTTTGCCTTTTTTTTGTTTGTTTGTTTGCCAGTCAGGCTTTTCTGTTGCATTTCAGCTTCCTCCTCCAAGAGCCATGAAAATCATCCTTGTAAACTTCTTCATCATGCTGGAGACAGCTCTTACGTTTCGAAATTAAATGGGTAGCTGCTCTCTTGTCCATGATAAACCAATTTGAATTTTATGGTGTGGCTGAAGGGTTTGGTTCCTCAAGTTTGCCAGCTTCCAGAGCCTGCTCTGCCAGCTCAGTGTTCCCTGCCTGTGCCCAGATAAACCAGGCAAACTGTTGCTCTGCCACCCTATTTATATTTTTCTTTTCCCAGTTCCTTCTTCCAACTCTCTCACAGGAGGAGAACGTACCAGTTTTCCACTCTTGTTCTTGGCAGGCACCATCTTAAACTGCTGATAGAGCAGGTTTGTCTGGTTCCCTGTAATGGAGAGCTGCTCTGGGAAATTACAGTCAGTGGGAAACAAAAGGAAAAGCACAAGTGGCTGGTTGTAAACAGTATAGGTAACAGTAAATTGAAATCTGTATTATACACCTCAGTTAGGCATTTTCTCAGTTACTGCTTAGCCAGCAATATTTTGCATGCTGCTCTGCCTGCATCTTGCCTTGATCCCTGTGGCTCACCAGCTCTGTGTTGCGCCGTAGCAGCACTGATCAAGGAAGCTTTTGTTGAGCTGGAGGTCTCAAGATCTGCTATAATCAGTGCTCGTGCTGCCCAGCCCTGCCACTCTCCCAGGCCCCCTTGCCATAACCATCTTTAGTGTTAAAGTAGGTGATTGAAATGTGTATTTTATTCTGCCCGTGCTTTGATGCCCTCTGTCTGTATGTGCATTGTTTGACTTGAAAATATTTACTTACAGCTGTATTTAGGGAGATTTTTTGTTGTTGTTGCAATAGTTAATCACCAAAGAATGCATTCATAAGTTTTGTGATCCCAGCAGGCAGCCTTGTCGTGATTTATTGTCCATGAGCATGATTTCAAAACTCGTTTGGACATTAGGAAAATAGGAAATGAAGAGAGAATCGCTCCCTGATGTGCCCTGTGGGTATAAGAGGCTTAGTTCCCATCCAGCAAACCCTGCAGGAGTGGCAGAAGTGCATCTGACTTGTGTGGCTGTTACTTCTCATCCTGCTGGGGCAGAGGAGGTGGTCTGTGTGTATGTCTGTAACTTAGTGCAGAGCCCAGCCCCTGTTAGCAGAGGCGGGTAGGTGGCAGGGTGAGAAAGCAGGCCTTGTAGCCTGCTTGTTGGCCTCTGCTGCAGGAAACTGGGTTTTGGCACGTCTTATCCTTGCCTTTCTGGCTTCCTTTCCTTTATATGGGAGCACAGTATCTGCTAGAGCAAGCCTGGGTACAAAAGCAGAAGGTGGGTTCAAAAGCCAAGCAGCCTGCCCTGTAACTTCTCACTGCCAGGCTGTAGGTTAATATTGCTGTGCGTTTGCAGAGCAGTCAAAGCTAAAGGACAGCTGAAAGCTGTGCCCTAAGTAACCTGTGAAATGCTGGGAAAGGCTAGTGCTCATTAAACACTGGTTTGTTGCTAACTGCAAGCACATCTAGTTTTTGTCGTTCTTTTTCGTTCACAAGAGCTGTAGTGTAGTGAATTGCAAAGATTTGGTCAATTTTAGCCCTTTATCATCCTATTTTAGGCATGTGACTTTTGTGATGTAGTTGTGAGGAGTGATGAAGTAAAGGGCTGCACAGTCACTAGTGCTGCATGGGGTGGTGTGGAGCAGCAGGAGTGCACAGAGAACTGGAATAGAGGGGTTGAAGGAGAAACCTGGTTTGGGGTACTAAACAAAATGTCCCCATAAAGGAGTTAAGGAGAAGAAATACCCAGGGTGGCCTTTTTCCTTCTGGCTGGTGCCAGAAACACTTGAATTTTTCTCTTTCCTGCATTGTATGGCATTATTACAGATGTTAGCAGGATAGGTGTGTGGGGCTGCCATCAGCC